AAAAAAAAAAAAAAAAAAATCCCTGAAGCTGAAGCCCAAAGGCATGTCCCTTCAGAAAGCTGAATAGAAAGGACTCTTGTGGGGAGGTTCTTTTTGTGTATTAGACTTCTTCCAGCCTCGTTTCTCAGACTTCCACAGGCAGGTGCACCCTACCAACTGACACTAGAGCCCCTGGTTAGCTGGTCATCCATGGAGTTTGCTCATACTGTCCGGGTTAGGTGAACACCATAAGCGACTCTTGCCATCTAAGGATAACTGGATCTCAGGGAAAAAGACCTGTTTGATGTAGGGCCTCATGTCAAATTTTGAGTAGCGAAAACAAGCATATTTTATCACTGCCAAAATCCTTATCTTTACACTTAAAATGACTCAATTACTGTTTTGAGGGCATCTTTTTCTGAAGGACTAATATGTTAGCATATATAATATCCTTCCTTTGACTTTTGTACAAGATTATAAAGTGAGCAGGGCACCTGTAATCCCAGTGGCTGAGGAGGCTGAGGCAGGAGGATTGCAAGTTCAAAGCCAGCCTCAGCAAAAGGTGAGGCACTAAGCAACTCTGTGAGACCCTGTCTATAAAGAAAATACAAAATAGGACTGGGGATGTGGCTCTCTTGGGGGAACATTTTTGAAGGATTAGTTAGATTAAAGGATTGCTCTAGAGAAAGTGAGAGGCATCTTTTTGCCAGGGTCCTTGTCAGTTCTCCCACCTTCACTAATTGCCCAGCTTTCATTGTCAGTGACTCTGCAGGTGGTGTAGACAGCCTCTCAGCATCACCTATTCCCCATTCATGAATTCCCATTGCCTTTATGAGTTCTCTTTACATGTCCCAGCATCCCAGGGATCATTTGCCCTATGTTCTCTTTATAGGACAGCTTATATGTATAAAAGATAGCACATTGTCCTCATGTTCTGTTTATGGTTTCCAACTTATTTTAATGCACCTGTATCAATTTTGTTGAAATATTTGCAGAATTGAAAGCTTGGGTTGACACTATTTAGAGGAAGGTAGGAATCATTATCTCCTCCATTTAATTTGCCCTAAAAGAAATCATTCCTTTTGCTATATGGTGAATCTCAGATGTTGACTGACATTTAAGGCAATTGACCGTGGATTCAGTTTTCAAGGAAAATAGAAAGTATAAATTGATGGACATATGGACATATGTAGCTGAAGGGGGTGCCTTATGTGGTTTAGGGTTATACATTCTGATTTACTTTCTGGACAGAACCTCTCCATCCCCTTCCAGCATACATATTGGGCATATCCTTCTTCACAGGTAGACATTCAGAATTTAAAAAAAAAAGGGGGGGGGAATGAACCAGGAGGCAAAGGAGGATCCCCAGGATGACCTTACAGAATATTCTCTCTGATCCAGCAATGTCCCCCTGAGCATTATCTGAAAGGGAATAGGCATAGGAGTATACAATAATGCACATAGAAAAGTACTCAACAGTATATTAGAAGGAAAAAGCTTCTTGACAGCATAGATGGATTTGCTTGAGCGTACATGAAGAGGCAGCTCTGTGGTCTAAGTGGTTTTCACTTGATATACTGTTGTTTTTTTTTCCAGTGGTACTGGGGATGGAACCGAAGGGCCTTGTACATTCTAGGCAAATGCTCTACATCCCCAGCCCAGTCCGAATGAACCCTGTATATTTGGTGGATGAAACCATTGCCCATTTAAAGAAGAAAAATTTTAAGCAAATACATTTTGTTTTAGGGCATTAGAGGCTGCATGTGAGACAGCTGTGCCTGGTTCCACTGTAGAGTGCCAGGAGGAGCTTTTGTACAATGCACCTTTTCCCCCACTTCACATTTTCTTTTTTTAACATAATTTTGTCTTCCCTGTAGACTGCAATAAGGTCACTGATCAGTGCCTGTCCTTCTTCAAACGCTGTGGAAATATCTGTCATATTGACCTGAGGTACTGCAAGCAAGTCACCAAGGAAGGCTGTGAGCAGTTCATAGCTGAAATGTCTGTGAGTGTCCAGTTTGGGCAAGTGGAAGAAAAACTCCTGCAAAAACTGAGTTAGTCCAAGGACAAGTATGTAAATATGGGGTAGGTGGGGGTGGGCGCAGCTGGGGAGGGGAAAGACTTCACAAAACACGAGGGCTTTTATTTCTCATGGAACTTGGAACAACAGACCATAGAACGATTCCATTTTGCAAGTCTTGCCAAGGGAGAAGCCACCCATTTGGGGATGTGTGAGCCAGACTCTTTCTTCCCTCTGGTCTTTCTGCGTTGTAACTGCACTGCTTTCTGGACCACAGTTAAGCGGCCTTTACAAGAAGACATTCCCATTGCAGGAAGATGGGCTTTGGAGGAATTTTCTTTGAAGCATGAGCTTTAGGGGTTCTCCCTACCCCACCCCCTGTGGTGTTTTTGTTTTGGACACCTTGTTCCTTGAAATGCTGAGGTTTTTGGTGTCAATATAAAGTGGACCACACACCACATCTGCTGCCGTCTTGACACATTTTGTTTGGTTGGTTTTGTTACATCTTACATTATGCAGAACTATTTTTGTACAAATTGTTAAAAGTTATTTATGCAAGGTTTGAATGCATACCAGTATTTTTATTGTTTTGAGATTGCCAACTTTCCTGGTTTCCTTCAGGTAGGAGAGAACTTAACCTGTACTTCATCAACACAAAGAACTCATCTACAAATGTGCCCAGATCTGACAGAGTGGGCCAAGACCTTCCACTTAAAAGCATGTTTAACTGGAAGTGGAGCCTGCTTGGTATGTCAAGAAGTTACACGAGCATGATGTGGACAGATGTAAATTACAGTCGAAGTAAGACACTCTGCCAAGTTTCCTCTGTAGAGAATTCACCTTTTTCTGAAATTTTACAAATCAGACTTCAGCCTTTGCACTCAGGAGGGTTTTGCTCCAGCATGAGCTCTTGTACTCTACATAGATCTAATTTATACCGTGAGACAAGAAGTAGAATAAATGCGCCCACACAGCCTCTTTTCCTCTCCTTTGAAGTGTGAGTTGAGTTCTCATTTAGGTTCGTAACCTGGCTGTTTCCTAGTTGTAATGTTCTGCATTCAGAAGTGCCATTGTCGTATGGTGGTGTTTCCTAGACTTTCCCTGATGCGATTTTACCTTTGTTGAATTTGTATAAACAGTTGTAAAAAAAAAAAAAAAAAAATCTTTGTGTTCGGGGGTTTTTGTTTGAGGAGAGAATTAGGAATTTTAATTGGAAAGCCCAGGGTCTGTAGGTCAATATAATTTCTCTTTAATCTGAAAAGTATAGCAGCCTCAAGAGTACATGATTTTTTTTTTTCCTTCAGCTGTTTCTGGACTATAAAGTAATATGGCCAAATATAGAAATTAAGGAACAGACTTTCCTTAAGGGGTAGGGCAGCTCACCTGTGTGGAGGCCTCTTGCCGTATCTGTACAATAACTTCCATGGCTGCTTCGTATCACCTATCCTATGAAGTTTCCAAGATTTGTGGGGGTTGGGCATCATCTCCTCAAATCTCTCACAGGAGACATGGGGCTGGGGTTGTGGCTCAGTGGTAAAGAGCTCGCCTAGTATGCACGAGACACTGGGTTTGATCCTCAGCAGCACCACATAAATGTAAAATAAAGATATTGTGTCCACCTAAAACTTAAAAATAAATATTTAAAAAAAAAAAATCTCCCACAGGAGACAACTCAAGGAGAGGTTCCCCTCCTGCAAAGTAGCTAGAGAGGACACTTCTTACCCAGGTGGCAGAAAAACTAGTGAGGAATTTTTTTTTTTTCCTTAATTTTGGTAAAGGATTGAACCCAGTGCTTCTTAACCACTGAGCCCCAATTTTTATAATTCATTTTGAGACAGGGTATAAGTTGCAGAGGCTGGCCTTGAATTTGTAATATCCCTACCTCAGCCTCCCAATTGCCAGGATTGGCTTCTTAGAAATAATTTTAGATCACTTAATTTTTTTTAAGTAGGGTCTTATAACCTCGTAATCATGTACAGAAATAACTGCTGTGGCGAATCTGAAGATGGGGAGGATAACCAACTTCTTTTCTCAATAGTCAAGAACATAAAATCTTGTCCCCCTTAGACAAGCCCTTCCTGCTAATAGTCCAGTTTTTTGCAATACTGGGGATGAGACCCAGGGTACTTTACCACTGAGCTATGTCCCCATCCCTTTTTGAGACAGGGTAGCCTTGAACTTGTTATCCTCTTGCCTCAGCCTCCCCTGCCTCAGGCCTTACAGGTGTGTGCCACCATGCCCAGCAACAGTCCAATTTTTTATTTACCCTCCTTTTCCTTATTATGCCATTGTGGCAAAATGACACTGAAGTCATTGCACCCTATAACTAATTCAGTGGTCCACTTAACAGAATTAAGTATAAAAGTGTAACTTATCTTTGCTCGTCCTGATGGTTCATGATGGAGAGACACAAGTTCTGTTTTTTAGTAGCCTTAGTCCTTTGAACTTGCAAATGAAAGTTACCTTGCTACTTGGGTTATTCTCTTCCTTGGGAAATAGCTTTAAGAGTAATAGTGGTTTTCAGAGGTCCTTATATTCATTTAAGCTGTGACTGCTTAAAATATAGCAGAGTTCCATGTTAGAAGGCAGTACCTCTCCTATAAGGACTCTCGAAGCACACAGGTCTACGAGAGGCACCTGTGGCAGGACTGCCACTTGCTAGAGATCCACGCTATCATAGGGACACACAGCAATGTCCTGACATATTCTAGGCATGCAAGACAGGCCATAGGTGAGCTTGCCACAAGAGTACTAAACAGCCTGGTGAGATTCACCCCAATGCAAATCCAAGGTCTCTGTACAGACCTTTTAAAAATAAGCTTAGGGTGGGCTGGAGATGTGGCTTAAGCAATAGCGTGCTCGCCTGGTGTGCATGCAGCCTGGGTTCAATCCTCAGCACCACATACAAATAAAGATGTGTCCACCGAAAACTAAAAAATAATTCTCTTTCTCTCTTTTTTAAAAAAAAATTAAAAAATGAAAGATTTCCATTCAGAAAAATAAATAAACTTAGGGTGAAGCCAGCCTAAGCTACCTGCTGCCAACAGCTGTAGGCCCACACAGGGCAGATGAAAGAGTCACTTGCTTGACTGCACTCGCTGTGCTGAACCATAGCTTCCCACCTCAGAGGAGAAGTCCTATCTCTAGGGAACTTGATGTTGATGAAGAAAGGTACAGTGGAGCTTCAAATGACTACCCTGTCACTGTGAAGGATAAGGGGGATGGGGTTGTGGCTCAGTGATAGCGAGCTTGCCTAGCATGCGTGAGGCACTAGGTTCAATTCTCAGCATCACATAAAAATAAATAAAATAGAGGTTCATCAACTAAAAAATATTAAAAAAAAAAAAAGAGGAGGATAAGGCACTTCACTATATTCCAGTGTGGACCTGCAGAATTTTATCCATGTGACATTACCTAATCAAAGAATTAACGTAAAGATGCATGGTATGCCAGTTAAAACATGCAACTTGCAGGGGAAATGACTGGCCTTCTGCCACACAAGTTAGCAGCCATCCCTTGGTGTCTGCAGTGGCTCAAGTTCCTTACTAAATGGTGCACCATGTGCACATAACTTGCACACATCCTCCTATATATTCCCAGTCACTCCGGATGGCTTATAATACCTAATGCAATGTAAATCCTACATAATAGTTGTTACAGTGTAACAACTAATTGTTTTGGAACTAATGACAAGGAAAAAGTAGTCTATACATGTTTAGTATATTTCAAATATTTTTTTAAGAGAATTTTTTAATATTTATTTTTTAGTTATCGGCGGACACAACGTCTTTGTGTATGTGGTGCTGAGGATTGAACCCAGGCCGCATGCATGCCAGGCAAGCACGCTACCACTTGAGCCACATCCCCAGCCCAATATTTCAAATATTTTTAATCCTCAGTTGGTTGAATCCACAGATACAAAAGGGCTGTCCGTACTTTGTCAAGCCTGTTGTACTAAACATCTCTGTCAGTTTGTCACTGAACTAAGTGATCTCAGCACTACCTTTAAAAAAAAAAAAAAACCAACAATTGGGCCGGGGGTAAGGCCCAAGGGGAAGAGCGCTCACCTAGCACATGCAGAGGCCAGATTCAATCCTCAGCACCACATAAAAATAAATAAAACAGATGTACTGTGTCCAACTATATAAATCCAAAAGTCAAGAATAAGAAGCATGTTTTAAGCTAACATGTAAATAAATCTGAATTTGTGTACCATCATTTGCTGGCCTGAATTTAAAGGCTTCCCACCATCAAGTTAGAGATTTGCAGGGCCAGGGGGTGGGGATGATATTAAATTTCAAGATTTCACTCTTGAAATGTAGACCAGGTGCCAGTGCCCCTGCAGCTGTGGCAGGGAATGGGCAGCAAAGCTGTAGCTTACATAGATCGCTCAAGCTGGGAGCTGCCAGCCCAGCCTGGGTTCAGCATTTGAAAATACCCTCAGGGCCTTGATAAGAGGGGAAAAAAGGGCAGAAAGGCATGTTTCAGCCCTAAGTTCAAAGCTATTTTTAGATCTATTAGTAGATCCCCCAGTACATGAGGGCATGAGTTACCAGCTTCATAGTCAAAAAAAAAAAACCTGGAGATTTTTTAAATTGGCCATTTCTAAAAACATCTGCCCCCTACCAATAGGAAGAATCCACAGCTGGGATCAACCAAAAGCACACCCTGATTCAAATGGGACCTAAGGAAAGAAACATAATTATCTGAAGTTTCTTATTTGCTATGTCGTATTGAGAAGGTTAAAAGAAACTGACATCTAAGCTAGGTTCCAATTATTCTGACATAACCATCTTTTTTTCCCCTCGTAGTATCAGATGGAGCCCAGCCCTTGTGCATGCTTACAGGGTGCTCTACCACTAAACAGCATCCCAGATCCTGATACAGCCACCTTTTTTTTGGTGGGGGGGGTTTACCAGGGATTGAACTCAGGGGCACTCAACCACTGGGCCAATTGTCAGCCCTGTTTTGTATTTTATTTAGACAGTGTCTCGATGAGCTGCTCCTATCAGCCTCCTGAGCTGCTGGGATTACAGGTGTGTGCCACCGTACCCAGCTACAGCCACATTTTAACTGAGATTCTGTACAGTCCTTTAACTTCTTGGGCACTATCTATCCAGATTTATACTGAGAACTGCTGGAAACTACACAGCATCAAGCATAACACCCGATTTTAATAAACAGCTAAACAGTACTTGACCTTTCTGGTAAGTAAGCAGCAAAGATAAGCATTGCAATTTGTTATGACATCTTTGAAGGTGCTCTCATTTATTCTGAAGAGGATGCTAGACCAGGTTACAGATACCATTCAGGCTGTATGCAAATGAATCAGGAACCGACTTGAGACGATGTAAACAAAAACATTTCCTTTAAATCTAATTTTATTCCTAAAGTTGAAATTAGCTAGCAGGTAGCACTAAAAATACACCTTCACTATACAAAACAGTGTAAACTGATTACACATTAACAAAAAATCAAGCACACACACTCCTAATGTAAGAAGCTAGGCACAGCATAAAAAGCTGCACCTAAACAAAAATGGACATGTTTCATCTAAGGCCCTGTCAGTTGTTCCCAATTATGTTTAAACCCAGAAATGGCAATAATGTGGAAACTTACATTCATCAAATATTAGCATTTAAAATATACATGACTAATAAACTGAACATTCAAAGGGGCCGCTGCTTAGCATGTTCCACATGAGCCACTGTGGACAGTGAGCTCACCTCACCCAAAGAGAACAGAAGTTTCCAACATAGGATCAAAGGGAAACAAGAATGGGGTAAGTACTGGCCAGAGAGCAGGAGCTGATGCCCAAAAGTCTGACTTCAACAACTAGCGCTCACGAGGGACAAGTGACAGAACCCCGTAAAACCTAGGAAGCTCGTGATCGTAGGCAGGCTCATGGCGCGGACCAATGTTTCTTCATCTTAGGATGAAACTTTATGCCCCCAATAAGTAGTGAAAATAATTTTTAAAAATAGCTTCTGCCTTTGAACAGTAAGTTTCCAGTCCCTTCTGTGCACTGAAATGTTTGGGATAGAGTCTGGGGGTGCGTGTCCCACTGGGGAGAACCTTGGTTTCAGGACTTGAACACGTGCACAGCTCGCACCACGTACTGGCGGCAGATGGGACACTCACTCATGCGCTTGCCGCACTTGGTGCAGGTGACCATGTGCCCACATTCCAGTAGGACACAATCGATGACAGCATCCATGCAGATGCGGCACA